ACTGTGTCAATGCATTGTACCTTAATAAAGAACAAAAGGTAGCCGCAGACTGATGGTGTGCTGTGGTGAGGGCTTACTTCAGCATTAAATCTTTCCCAAGTCAGTTGCTGCCACAACTCACCTTCATGTACATGGATTTTTAATGAGCTTTAAAGGTATAATAGGCTTTTACCTTTTATAGATACGCTTTTGTAGTTTGTCACTAACATTACTGTAGTTTTAAGGAAATTTTAAGAAGTAATGATTGGTTTTTGTGGGCAGGAGGATTGCTTTTATATGACCTTTTTTTACTAAAGCCAGTACTCCTAGAACGTGTGATTTCTTCTTTGCAGATCAATGCACCTTTCATATCCCTAATTATATTAAGCCAAAAGATATGGTATTCTATAAATGTAAAAGATGGAAAAATGATTGTTCAGTCAGTGAAGACCAAGCAAATTGCATAGCACACATTTTATCTGTGTGGTTAGCTGGGAGCATGGTAGTACAGTGTAGGCAGTTTCCATAAAAGACATGTAAGCATGTGCCTTTTCTGGCATGGGTTTAAACATCTCCAGGCAAGGATGGGAACTCTCCTCCAAAGGAAGGAACTAATGAATAATCTAATTGTAGTTACTGTTCCCTCCACTCTGTAAGATAATTGCTTAATTGGGTAGTTGTCTGTGTGTTTGAGAAGAGTAACAGCCTCCTTCGAGGTGTAGAACCTCTTTTGCTATAGGGCCTTGGTGATAAGTAGGAAAAGGAATTTAGGACTGCATTGCAGAACGTGTAGGAATACTTCCCAGGCAGTGCCCTGCGTGTGTGCGTCCGCTGCTGTATCTCACAGTTAATGATACATGTGGTTTGGAATATATTGGTGCCTGTAAGGTCTTTGGCCTTGGACCATGTTAATTAAATCTCAGATAAATATGGTAACCAGGTAAAGAATTAAGAACAAATTACATAGGGGTATTATAAAGAGATATTTTTTTTTTACACTGTTGTGTATTGTACCCGGCTTGCAGTTCCAAGCAGTTCTTTGGCTAAATTCTGTGATATGATTTCTGAGTTAGGACAGTGATGTGAAGTCAAATTCCAGGCATTAGTTGTTGTTGCTTGAAGAAACGAGGTGTCATTTTACTGCCTGCACATTTCTGAAGTAGCTAAGTGTGGTAGAAGGCCTTGTTTCCCTTTGTCTAAACTGCTGCATTTGTATGAACATTTATCAGCAAACGTGTAAATGCTGTAGAAGCTGGCATTTCCAGTGGACTTGCCAAGAGACAAATCTCCCTTCCTCTGAGGCAGCACAAATCAAATTAGCTAAGACTGAGTTCTTTCTTCTAATTGTAGGAGTTCTGTCAAATCTGTTTAATATTGAGATACAGCTGACCCACTTGTGTTTGGCAAGTGTTAGTGACCAGAAAAAAGCACAAGTTTCATTTGTTGTTTAATTTATCAGCTTTGGTTTTGTTAAACAGTTAAAGAACAGTTCATTTTTGTCTGAAATGTTTTTCAGTACATTTTATTGTGATTAAAAAAATCCTACTGCAGTCTCTATCGTATTTGAGACTTAAAAGTGTCCTTAAGGACTTGTGCATCAAGATCTGTATAAAAAGAAAAAAAAAAAAAGCAGGGATTTCTGTGCAAATTAGATGTCATGAGTGTTAATATGACATTGTTAATAACTCAATGCCATTAAATATGTCTGATAAATGTACACGTTAAATGCATGCGAGGCATGTGACAGAGTTGGTTTGAGGAGGGAGTTGGTCAAGGGATATCAAGTTTGGAAAGATCAGTTGTACACGCTGGACCACCACTGCGCACACAGTGTGAGCTCTTAGGACCTTATGATTGTTTTGCTTTTAACTAGGTTGTTACAGCTGGCCTGCTGTAGGATGCTCTGGTACACTCCGTTTTATAGAAACCAATAGTGAAACGTGGCGGTGGGGGAGGAAAATTGTTGTTACTGTTGGAGTCTGTCTTTTTTAACTGGGATTTTTTACATACTATCATTTCACTAGCATTTGGATTCAGAGGCATAATATTGTGTGCTCAAGTCTTCTGCACTGTAACTGTTGAGAAATGGAAAGGGTTTTTTTTTTAAATGTCTTTCCAAAATTATTGCACATCAACTTCAAGTGACTTGTTGGCAGAGTATCTTCTGGTTGATATTAGAAAATCTAAATGATTTGCTCGTGTGTATTACTTGCAGGGAGGCAACAACTGCCAGCTGACTGGCATACTCTGTTGTCAGGAAGACTCTTGTGTTAGCACAAAAGATAAGGCCAAAAGCAATGAGAGCTAGGGATCGAGTCTGCTTTAATCTTTGTTTTAATATTAGCGGGTGTGAAGCGAGCATTTTTCACTTGAGTAACTGCTACTTACATATGACAGTAATACGCAGGTAATTACTCTTGCAGAGCTTGCATTGTACAAGACTGCGTCTGTTTTCACATGGGAGACCTTTGTCTCCGTAACATCCCCAGGATTTCAGTGTGCGTTTACAGCCGCACTTCTGCGTCTTCTCAACACCGTTTCAGGCAGAGTATCAGTTTTGAACAACGCTGTGGCAATTTCTGAACCCATAGGAGAAAGAAGTAATGAAAGTTGAGCGTAGCTAAAAGCAGCCGATGATATTTGTCCGTTCAC